CCATTTCGTCATTTCGTAGTATCACTAGTTCAAAGATCTTGTAGAGGTTGAGAAATAAATAGCATTAACAAATAAATCTCTCTTTTATATTAAAGGTGTAGAAAAAATGGTTACACAAAACACTTTGCACCGTTCTCGAAAAAAAAAGTTTTACACTGAATGGACGGACGTTGTGGAAGCAGGGATTTCTAAAAACCGACATCTTTACGTATGTCTAATGTACACGACGTATATAGTGCACTGGTAAAGGAGAACGTAAAAAGCAAATTATCAAAAAGCGAAATGAATATTAGAAATTAGCTAATTAGCATATCTTTATATTTATTGTAAACTGGAAGAATGAAATATCTGCAGAGATCGTCCAGTGGTTGCAACCCTTGCGCCCCACTGATGGTATCAGGCGACGAGGCTGACAGGAAAGTGCATGTTGATTGATTGATTGATTGGTGATTTCTGGCGCAAATGGCCAAGATCATTAATAGCGCAAGTATTATGCATGTTTTATCGTCGGAGGTGTCGTAATCTTCCCCCGCTAGAGATCGTGATTCGGCGAAGACCTACGTCAGCTTACGAGGTTTCCCCACCAGGTATCTCCCACTGGCGTGCCATGAAGGTCACGCACTAAGCTCCCGACTGGTCTCTTCACATGCGTGTGTGTGTGTGTGTGTGTGTGTGTGCGTGTGTGTAAGAAAGGAGTGAAGAGAGAACAAGGAAGAGGAAAGAAAGATCGTGCGCGGTCCGGGGCACGTTTTTAGGGTATTGATCCGGCATTCGCCTGGTGTTGATCGCAGACACAACCGATCAGAGAAGCCGGCCTCTAGAATTCTCTTCCAGACAGCGCCAGAACTCGACGTAAGTATCTAGCTAGTTTGGAAAATCCTGCCACCGTCGAGGAACAGTAGGGCCTCGTAGTCAGAGACATCGGTTGTTGTCCTGATCCACCTTTGCCGGAAACTTGTGCAAGTCGTCCCACGGAACGAGGCTCTGCGGGCGATGACGTGTGCGGGCGTGCACGCTTTCTAGAGATGAAATGGTTTGTACCGGAGGTATTTACCGGTGGCCAACCGTCTTGAACCAGTGCGGGTGCTCCTGGGGACGTCTTGAACGGCGTCCTCTCAAAAACATGTCGCGAAGAGTTGCAGACGTTTTACTCTTACACTAAATCGTCCAGTTTAATTTGTGCATACAACCCGTTTTCAGAATACACATAATTTCATTTGAATTAACAATGTTTTAGAATATGCAGTATTGAGAGCTCTCGCTTTGCCGCCCTGGTATGTCCCTGATTGGAGACATTATTTTTTTTTTTTAAATAGGCGTTAACATGTTGCCAAAAACAACTAAATAAAATTTAAAAAATTCTAATAAATTATATATTTTAACGAGGGTGGGTTTTATTTCTCTCGTAAAAATATAATTTACAAATAAAGAAATGGGGCAATTTGTTTACGTTTCTTTTTACAACAAACGTCTTAAAACAATGAAAAAACCATAACAAGAGAAAATTAGCCCCGTCCTATTGTTATCGTCGCCTCGAGGGCTAAAATTTATTTTTTTCACTCGTGTGTTATAAATTACTATTAAATGTTCTTAATATTCAAAATTATTACTCGACTTGTTTTAAACTCAAATCTTCTTGCCTCAAGAAACTATAGAGTCAATTCTATCTCCTTTAAGTCGTTCCCATTCGAGTTTCAGTTTTCCAAGGTCACGTCAGTCGAGTGGTTTGTCAAGTATTGTCATTTGTTACATCTGAAACACCTGAGTGATTACGTGACACGTTTCCTTTCAACATTTTTATTACTCTCGCGATGAAATGGAATGGCCGCTCTGGAGTGAATTCGTGAGATAACGCTTCTTTCAGCCCATCTATTGCGTTCGTGACTTTGGCCGCGACGGGCACACGTCACCATTGACAACGATAATACAGTCGGTGTTGCGCAACTGCAATGCGGATGTGGGCACAGAGGCGGTGCAACTTTTCGAAGGCCGCATTTCCTTTCTAGTGCGACGTCCCTACCGCCTCGAAGTAGTCCATAAATGATTGGAGCAAAGGGTTATTTACATCAATGTGGGTTTAACTGCCATACTGGAATGCGAAGTACTTAATTAGGGATTTTCGTAGTAAGAACCAGTTGAGTTAGCTCAGAACCAGATTTATGTTGTTTCTGCAGCGACTCTAACCGGGAGGTCCTACGTTTCGAGCCCCAACGATGACGGTTGCTAGGTCGAATTCAGCTGTCGAGGGGAATTGCAGCGACCGGCTTCTCTCAACTGTAGTTTTCCGTGGTTTCTCCGATCAATGGCAGGTGAATACTGGAGAAGTCCCCAAACAATCGGGATCGTTCGTCCCTCGTCCTTGTCCTATCCATTCCTCTCTCACCATACTTCTATGCACTACGCTACCACACATTTCAGAAGACCAGTTTGGAGCGTAGAGCTTGTTCCGTTGGGGCGATGCGGGGAGAGATCTGGAGGGGGAAATTCCCTGGAAGCCGACGTGTTGGTCGGCGCTGGATCTCACCATCTACACGAGGAGGAGGAGGAAGAGGAGTTGGGATTAATTAGCTAGGACTAATGACCCTAGCCATCAATGATCGGGTGGAATACATTTTCCTTTACAGATTTTCTGTCTCGCCGTTATCTACCACATCAAAGTGTTTCATTGTAATTGGAAGACCTTGGAAATATTTCTTCGGGGCTGATTCGATAAACTACTGCTGCAACAGCGTAAACTTTCTCGAATATTTGTACGGTTACATAATATCAAGTATTGCAACCTCAATCCTAATAATTTTTCAGTCATCTTTGAAAAAAAAACTAATAAAAGAAGCGCAGGACTTTAGTATTTGATTACATTCCAGAGACCCGATTAGGTTCCAGGTTACCGTATTTATAAGGGCATGTTATCCGAGGAAAAATATGTTAGGAAAAAATTTTGTTCTGGGAATCGATCTCTGGTTTCCAAATGAAGGTCTAGATAGCTTACCAGGACGACTGACATTATATCTCTCATTATCAGCGATGGAAGATAAGTATTTTTGATCATGAGGTACGCAAGTAAAATGCCAACAGTGGTTGGACTCACATTCTTTTGAAATCAGACCAAACAGTTTCGTTGTGTGATGGCGCGGGTTCTTACCAAAGGATCACATTAGGGAAAGAATATTTGAACACATAATTTTATGTAATTATTATATATTAGGAAATAAACATAGTGTGGCTCGTTGCAGCAGAATTGTAAAACAACTTTACTTAGATGAAATAATCTTAGTAAAAGTATAAACTGAAATTTAATTATAAGAAAAGGTTTGCAACAAAAATAAATACGAGAAAGTGCGTGTTATATTGTAGCACCTTTATTGTAACCATACGTTGCTCTATTCGACGAAGAGTTTTAAAAAATTATGCTTTTTTTGAAAAACTTCTGTTCAGATAGTTTTATGCCCCTTGGATTTGAAATAGGTCTTTTGATTTTTGGGGCACTTCACATGAAGCCCCAACATTTCCAAAATTTTCTCAATGTACCTCTAAATTTATACCTTACATTTTTGTTTTTCAAATAGGGTGAAGTACGCATTTAAAAGGACGTGGGTTCGATATTCTTTAGGTTCTATGGATTTTCGAAAGATAAAATTATTTAACGAATTTTTGGCGTCTTCATAAAATGACCATACTGAACTGTTTTTAAATAAAAACTGTTCTTCAAATATTCATCTTTAAATAACATCGCGTATAATTCTTTCGAAATGAGTGGTTTTCGAGTAATTTCCCATGCAATAATAGTAATATTAAAAACAATTTTTTTCGAAACGGTTCAAAATATTTTCTAATTTTTCTTTTTCTCGCATAGTGCCAATTACGCTGATAGAAACGGCCCAGGACCGAGGTGCCGCGCCCGGACCCAATCAACCGTCCCCTAAACACAAACAAATCTGTCTGCAAGCGCAGAAGCCCGTTCCCTCCACGGCTCACTCCTCTTGAGATTTCTCTTCGCGACTCCGTTGCCCTCGACAAGCAGTTTCCATCATCACTTCTTGATATTTCTCTACGTACGAGTAACAACGCTGCCCTCTTCCACTAGCAGGCGGACTTTGTCATTAAAACATTCTTCTTGGTACTTCATCGACGAGGTACTTCTGGCTTCGGCAGCTCTTCGACCGGCATACTTCCGAGGTGCATCCATGCACTTTCGAGTGTGTTAGTCTTGCATTTCGACTATACATCGCCCTTCCTCGGCCCGGCCGACTTGTTCTCACAGCATGTGCTTCCGAGGAACATGCAATGCAGCTGTCATCGTAAACGAGTGCTACGAGAGCAACACTTGAGGAATAAGGTTGAACTAAATCTGAGTTCAAACGACAAGAATGATACTACGAAATCTCCAAAGAGCTAAGACGTAGAAAAAAAAGTTTTTAATTCATACGCAATACTATTGGAGTGACTTTACGCACGAGCCAGGAACTGAACAGTAGCGAGTCACCAGAATAAGAGAATCATTATTTAAAACGCCTTCGACGTTAATTTTCATTGCATTTGTACAAATAATTCATTCAGTAATAGTCTTTTTTCATTTGTAACTTTTGTGTTCATAGCTTAATAAATAAAGAATATGTGCAATATTAATCGCCATATTTTTCAATGTGTCTTCAGTCAAAATCAGTTTCTTTCCTAAACCAGCGCCATCCTTCCCCCCCCCCCCCCCTCCAGCAACTAACGGCCCGGAGCGGGGTAAACATTACTTCGTGCAGGGACGGTCCTGTTCTGTCCTCTACCGCAACCTCTCCCTTGCCACATATTATTCGCCCTTTACTTGTACACTCGAATAATGACTTTTCCTTTTCTCCTTTTCATGATAGGCTCATATATTTTTTCAAAAGTCATATAACAAGAAGTTTTTATTGAAAATTTGCTACCTGACTATGCTATACCTGACTGTTCACTTTGTATTACTTTCAGTCGTTATTTTTCACAAAGGATTCAGATATCACAAAACTTACCAGCTTCAACGGCATCACTTATGTGATATATATTACAGACTTTAACTTAAATATTTATAGGAAAAACTCTTTAGCGTACGGGGTACTTTTTTTCTTCAAAATGTCCGTCCGTCAGTCGTGTGCTTGTCTAACTGTCCGTCTGTGAACAACACTAGCAAAACAATTTGTAGAAATAATTAATCTGCACCGGTTCAAAGCTCAGCGATTTTGAAAAATATTCCTTAGATTTTGGCAGGTTACTTTACATTAAACACTTAGGACATTTTGTAAGGACTACTCTGTAAGGATACATTTGTAAAGATGCTCCAAATTTCACTGTTCTCTGAATTTTCGAAAATTTCAAAAGTTTGACTTTTTTCTTAATCCTAATTCAAATCTGAAGCTACAGTTTTCCTTCAAATTAAATTTGTTCCAGGGGCCGCGGCTTCAGTCAGAACGATTCAAGAATATCAATTTTGGAGAAAATCAGCTGATCGGTTTACTTTAGTGTCGTGCACAGGACGGACAAAACATGGATTCTGGATACACCACGTGATATTGGATTTATCCACTTTTTCCTTACCAGGGCCCGGCAATGACAGTTTTTGTGTCGAAAATTCGCAGTTTTCCACCGCACGATTACAATACTTTCTCTTCTTCGTGCGAGAAAGTAAAATTGATAAAATTATGTTATTTCTTCAATTAAAATATACGAATTTAAAAATTAATTGATTTCTCGTAGAAACTAGTGCTATATCAGCTCATACTTTCAGGTATTACTTCTAAATTTGCGATTTTCGAAAATTCAGAGGGTTCAAATGAGACGCATCCCCAATCCTTTAAGCGTCCCTTCTTTCCGTGGAAAATATTTGGATCGGTTCTTGAGCAGTAATATATTTTTTATGGCATACATTTTAAGCAGAAATTACGTGAAAAAGGGTTGTTTTTTTCATCATAAAAATTTTATACAAGCTTTTCTAAGGAGCTGATTGTTTACAATAGACTTCGTCTGAGGCAAAAATCTCCATCTTCAATTTTGTAGTTTTGTTGTTTGTTAACGTTTTGCAATTTTCGAAAGAACGGAGAGAAGACCGAAAATGGGACTAACACCCATTTTTTACAATCCCATATTACATATGAAGAGAAATTTTAAAGGAAAAATTTTGAGTGGTTTTGAGAAAAAATGGTTTAAACATTTTCAACATGCCTAAATTGCACACAAAATTACACGAAAACTACTCATACTTTCGAAAAATTGAACATAAACGTATTTGAAGATCTGTCTTTAAGGAACAGATTTCGATAAGAAAAAAATCTTTCTTCAATATTACAGTTGCAGAAAGACGCCCCGAAAAAATGCACTTTTGCAATTTTCAAAAAATCTGGGATAAAAATGAACATGAGATTTATACCATTATTTTAAGCGTCCTTTACGCAATCCGAGAACAAACTTTAATAAAAAAATTGGAGCCATTTTTAAGAACATTTTGAAAATGTTTTTGAGACATCATGTAAAGTTTTGTCAAAATCAAAATATTTTTTGAACCCCGAATTCCTTCGGGTCGATGTGGAATATCAGTCTTAGAGAAAATGGGATGGTCGGTTTAGGCGCTAGCGTCCACCACAGAACAGACAGGCGGACGGGGGAACAGACAGACAAATGAATCGATTTTTCGGCATCAAGGTTTCATATACCATGGATTTTAGCTACACCATGTGTTAGAGAATTCCTTTCAATATTTAGCAACTGGATTACGTTGCCAGGGCGCGGCTCTAAGACTTTTCTGTTAAAAATTCGCTGTTTTCAGGCGCACGATTACGTAACTTTCTCTTCTTACGAAGTCCCTTCGTAATGAACACGCAAAAATTATTTTCTTAACCGCTACTTTGGTCTTCCGGCGCTTAATCTTCTTCTCTAGTAAAAAATTATTAAATAAATCGTATTCAATTTTAGCCATACATATTTGTCCAAGTTTTAAACATAAATTAATTTTTTCCTGGGTTATTTGAAGAAAAAAAAGCGGCAATTTTTTGCATGCCTTCAGGCTACAATGTTAATCCGCATCTGGGTGTGGGTTGCAATTTTTGTAGCAATACTATGAAGTCCAATCTATAGGTAATAGTAAATAATAGGAAAATAAAAAAAAGTTCAATGACAAAGGGGAGCCAACAATGTAGATGTCCTCTCTTGTTTTTGGCTGCGCCCACAACAAAGGCTTAAAATTGAAAATTACCTCAACTTTGCTTAAAACATTAAAAAAGAGAATTCAAACAATTTTAAGAAATAATTTGTGTCACTCATATTCTTGGAGGAATGCCCCTCATATTCATTGGGTATTCGCTCAGTTATCTGCAGTGATATTGAAGAGATCAAGGAGTAATCGATGCATCTTGTAACTCAACTTTCTCATGAAGAACGTGACGCCATTTCAGGTAATCTGTGATAGTGCTTCAGAGATAACTGTTCAGGGATAAGCGAGCACACCCAAGCTTTTATCACAAAACGTAATTGGTGCCTCATGCGTAAAAGGCCCCCGAAGTCATCCATTGTCATTTTCTCGCGTACTGCCGCATAATCATGCGGCAAAAAACGGCGAATGTTCGCCAGAAAAAACTATTTTTATGGGGCCCTGATATTCGAAAAACTGGATAAGTCCTGCCCCTTTATGAAGTAAATTTCTTCTTCAAACATCCTATCTGCAGATGGTTCAGCCCCTATCCGAGTCTTTACCAATGTACCTACAGACCGCAAAATCATTGAGACTCTATCGGCGCTATTCTGAGCAAGATTGAAGGACTTATAAGAAGAAATGCGCCAATGAAGAGGTAACCGCCTGAGAGAAGCTGGGACCCCAAGCGACAGGGGTTAGGGCGCATATAAACGACCTGATTGGAAATGCCTTTTTGAAAGATTATCATCTTCTGAAACCTGGTCTTTCTATCACTGCACTCCAACTGAGATCAAATGCCGCTGCCAATAAAACTACTCTTAGTAGAGCAGAGGATTTTACTGCAGGAAGTGCAATACAGCGGGAGAAACCATCAATCACATCCTCAGTCAGTGCATTTTTACAAAAAACTTCATAGAAGGGAAGATGCTCCGGAAATCGGACACGGAAGCTACTTTCTCCCTTGCCGAAGGGGTTACACTCAAACCTGACCTGGTAATAAAAAGCTGGGAAGGGGTCCATGTGGTCGATGTGACTGTCCGCCACGGGGATGGGTCTAACCTTCTGATAGCAGGGGAATAAAAGGTGGTAAAATACCAATGAGTCATTCTCATGGCAGCCCAACTTCATGGAGTACCCAACGCCAGAATCCTGCCAGTGGTGGTTGGAGCCTCTGGGGCTGTGCCAAGATTTACAGTGAGTGCCCTCAAGACCCTGGGGATCACGTCTTGAGGCGATCTACTGGCCATCTCGTTAATTGCTCTCAGAAGCTCTATTAAACTTCACACACAATTTGTAAATTACGATGGAGCAATTTAGCATTGCTGGTAGTAAATGGAGGGAGAAAGCTTCAATGCCCTGAGGGGAAGTCTAGGGAACGCGTTGGATCCGGTGCTGCGCACGGGCGACCGCCCGGGGCCTCGCAAGTCAAGGAGCACACTACTGAGGAAAAAGAAATTACAACTCGAGAAAAACGGTATTGTAATTGACCAAGTAGCGGCACAGTATCCTAATATTTCAAACAATTTCTCATTATACCTTTTATACCTTAAATAGTTAATTATAGTAATTACTTATTTACACACTACACCTCTACAACCATCACCTTTCTTAAAAAACTCTCATTCTAGCATGTACATCACAGAAACATCAGAAAAGGAAATACTTCAAATTATAAACAAAATGCAAAATAAACAATCCGCTGAGATAGACAACATTCCAGACTGCTTAATAAAAAAGATTGCTCCATATATCATCAAACCATTAACATATTTATACAACCAATCACTAACTCAGGGCTCCTTCCCAAACATATTTAAAACTGCTGTAATTAAACCTATACCTTATGTAATGAATTATAGGCCAATCTCACTCTTGTCAGATTTTCCAAAAATATTAGAAAATCTGTTCTATGAAAGATTAAAAAACTACTTGATACACTGTAACATTATCACTGACTCTCAACATGGATTCAGGGAAAATCGTTCAACTGAAACTGCTCTATTCACCTTTGTAAATGAAATCTTCATGGCATTAGAGCACAAAGAAATTCCTGTTCGTCTCTTTCTCGACCTGTCAAAAGCCTTTGACACGGTAGATCACACAATTCTATTGTCAAAATTAGAATCATATGGAATACGAAGGATTGCTTACAATTGGATAAAATCATACCTATCAGACTAAAAGCAAATAGTACTATTACCTTACCAAAACGACAACAAAATAACTAACCATCACTCCAAGCCAAGGAATGTGACATATGGGGTCCCGCAAGGATCCACACTAGGCCCGGTTTTATTTCTTATATTTGTAAACGACCTGCCATCAATAATGGAAAACAACAAAAGACCGTACTGTTTGCTGATGACACTAATATAATATTTAAAGAAAGAACAAAGAATGCTTTGCAAGACAAAGCCAATTTAGCCATCGACAAGCTAGTTCAATGGATCCACCATAACAAATTCATCCTAAACCGAGACAAAACAATCACAATACCCTTCCACAACTCCCACTCAACACAACAATACTCACCAAATTTAACATTAGAAGGAAACAGCATCAGACAAGCACAGAAAACAAAATTTCTCGGAATCACCATACAATCCAACAAGTGGAACTCTCACCTAGAAGATATTAATTCAAAATTGAGCAAACTTATTTATGCTCTTAGAATAATAATAAGAAACAGCACCATTGATACAGCAGTGTACTTTGCAAATGTGCACTCTATTCTCAAATATGGGATAATAATATGGGGCCAAGCACCAGAGGCTAAACAAACATTCAAAATACAAAAGAGAATCATTCGAACAATAACAAATACAAAAAGAAACAAAATCCTGCAGACCTCATTTCAAAAACTTA